AAAAAAAAAAAAAAAAAAAAAAAACCAGACATAAAATGGTATGAGGAGGGATTTGAAGAAAATTATAAATATGGAAGTTGGGAGTAATGTTCTAGAAATGCTATGAAGTAGTATTATTGAATTGGTTTTGTGAACTGTGAACTTATTGCAGTTATAGTTTAGAAGCCTGGAATAATGCCAACTTTCTGCTGCTTATATTTCTACCAGTACTAGCAAGAAAATGGAAAGGAGTAATTGAGATTTGTTCTCTGTACTAGATTTCTTTTTGTCTCTTGCTTCACAGCTGTTGTAGTAGCAGTTTAAGTTTCCAGGATTGGATCTAAAATAATTTTGTCCAGGTCTCTTATGAAGTATGCCATTCTTTTCAGATGCATAGGCTCGTGATCTGTTTTAGTCTAATTGCTAATGTTAGTGCTTGGAAAGCACTAACATTAGCAATTTGAGAAGCCAAGAAAAAAAGGTAAAAATTATGAAAAAAATGGAAAGTTCATTAGGTTGCTAGACAATCACCGGCAGCTTTCTGGCTGCAAAATATCAGCTTGTTTTGTGTGAGTTCAGTATTCAGTGGCCTAAAACTCAATTAGGCCAAATTTGGATTTAAATTGTGACTTCTGGAATCAGGGTCCTACTATGTGGATAATTTGAATATTAGCTATATATATGAGTGTGTTTGTACCCATTTTTTTGGAAAATAAAAGTTAATGTCTTTATCAGGTACCCTGTTTTTATTCCTTGCAATTCTTTATAGATAGGTTACTTGCAAGAAATTAAAGTTTGAGGTATCAATATGTTTATGGTACAGACAATAATATTTCTTCTCTATAGTTAGCCAGTGATAAAACTGGAATGAAGATATCTGTACAATGCAAAGATCTACTCGAAATTTTAGAAAGATGGAAAATAGATTCCTGGCGATCTTTTTGGCAGTAGCTGCAATATTCTCGTTATAGTATATCAGATTTGGCTCAATGGTAAATTTTGAGCAGGAAGAGCGACTTGGATTTAAAATAGCAGATTTTATATGTTCCTGTTATTTAAGAGTTAGGGTTAATTCCTTGTATTCATATTGCAGAACTCCTTAAGAGAACTTAAAAATAGCATTTTCATGCTTCCGTAAATTAAAAGCAATATATTTGATTTGGATGTATAATATTATATATTAAATATATTGCCATACATATATTCTGGTTTTATATACACAGAACAATGTATGTAGTTTATTCTGAATTAGAATTGAGGGCCCTTTTTCATTTGAGATATTAGAGTATAACATTCTGTTTTAAAATATTAAGAGTTTGGGGAAGGTCTTCTTTAAACTAGAAATGCTTGCTATTGAGAATACTGGTGAAAAGCAAATGAATTGATAGGTAGATGTTTAATTTAGGCACTGTATTCCCCCACCCCCCCACCCCAAAAAGGATGATCATGTTTTTCTTTTCAAGGATATGGTGTTTGTAGAATACACTTCAATTTCTATTAGTTGCCACAGTTCATTTATCTGCTGCCTATCTCTTTGATTTTTTAAATATTTGACAGTGTCCCAGTGACACTTGCTTGGAACCAATTCTGATAAGAATAGTCTATAAATCTTGTAAAAAAATATAAATTCATATTGAAGCCAGCTACTTCCTTAGAACAAAGAATTTAAACAGTTGAGGTTGTTATTCAGTGAATGGAGAGTAATTCTCAACAAAACACAGAGCTTTTCATAGTCCAAAAAAGCAAAAGGTAGCCCATAAAAGGAGGGAGTTAAAGTTCTATTGCTTTACTGTTTTGTACTAGGACAGAGTTTATTCATTCGTAAAACCTGATGATATTATACTGAAAAAGCTCACAGGCATTTTTCACATTTAGCTACAAAGTTCTTATGCTCATTTTTTGTCATTCTTGGGTAAATTGAATCAAATATACTTATTTTAATTTGTTGTAAAACATACATTTTAAGACAATGAGTTAGCAAGAAAATTGGAAATAGTAATGGAAAGATAAGGGAAAGATAGGAATAGGTGAGGCAGTAGGAAGATACTGGGGAGGAAAGTAGAAACTATATTGCCTGATTTAGATAACCGGGGAAAAAAGTTCAAACTTGCACAAGAATAACACAAACTGTTACACAAAATAATGTGCACATATATAGTTATTTGTTTTGTTGGTAAAACTGCTTTCCTGCCATTGAAATATTGTTCATTTACTGTTTAATTTATTAAGGCTTATTGTCAAGCTTGACCTTGTAGCATTGAGTTAGAAGTTTGGTTTTCCCTTTTTTAAAAAAAGAAAGTGATTCTAAACAATTTTATAGTGCTTGTGGGTATATCCTTCTGACCTACTTAATTGCCTGCAGTGCCTTAAAAGAATATTTTTTAAATTTCTTTGTAAACTCATCATAGTTTTAATTGCCCATTGGTAATAACTGTATTAATCTAATATTGGTTAATAAGGAACTAATTTTCTCCAAGTCACTGTTGTTATGAGCCGTCTCTTTTCATGCAGCATGCATACACCATTTTGGCACTGTCATAAGTCATAGAACAAAGATATGCATATAATAAATCAAGCTATAACATGCTCTCGTGCAGAATCCTTCCAGTTGGTTCATTTATTATCAGATTGATATCTTATGTACCCATGAAAATGGAATCTTATACAAAAGAAAATAAGGCTGATGCTGAACAATAGTACAAAATTTAGCACACTACGTATGTGATTTCAGTGATAAGGATTGAAATTTTATAGCTGAATTTTTCATAGAAAATATATTACTAGAACAATGTGAGTATTGCATTTAAGTATATAGAATTAATTTTTAATAGATTAAAGTTGAGATTTTTCAAATTTAAATTTTGACTAATAATTATAATTAATTACATAATCTTTCAGGAACCAAAAATAACATCAATAAATTGTAAATACTCTTACTGTGATGGATAGAAGTATGTTGAATTGCTAATGAGTGCTTATAATTTATCAGAAGACAAAAAGTGAAGGAAACCTAGAAAGAGAAGTATTTGTACTGCTTCCCTAAATATTTATTGGCCAATTCAGATTAAGATTAGACACTGTTAATTCTGCTTTATTTATTTCTTTTGCAGACATTATCCAAAGCAGTCCTTCACAATGGTGGCTGACACTCCAGAGAACCTGCGCCTTAAGCAGCAGAGTGAACTTCAAAGTCAAGTAAGGCTTTCAACTGTTTATTCTCATTCTGCAGGTTGCTGTATGTTAGCAATTGCATTCTACCAACCATACTCAAAAAAGAATTTAGTGAAGAAGTTAATATCTTAAAAAGAGAGCATGGCTTGATGCTTAAAAATAAAAGCTGTTTACTTTTCCCATATTACTGGAAGGAAAAAAGTACAGAAATGAATTAAAATATAAACTGTCAGTTCTACAAGAGATAACACTTATGATGCAACACATGAAAGATAGTATCTTAACACTAGCTCAGGAATCCAGAGCATGAAAGTACAATTGTGAAAGTCCTTATATACCTACTAAGAAAGATGAATCAAGGCAGGGGTGGGATTCTACCCGTTCTGTCCACTTCTGTAGAAGTGGTTGCTATGAAAAGCAGCAAACAGAGAGCATACATAGAACTGGTTCTATGTTAGAAGAAGAAGAAGAAAAGAAAAGAAGAAGAAGAAGAAGGAAGAAGAAGAAGAAGAAGGAAGAAGAAAGAAGAAGAAGAAGAACTTTATTATCATTGTACAAGTACAACGAAACTGTGGATGCACCCCAGCAACTGTTCGCAATACTGTTTGCTGCAGTTTTGGCCCACCTGCCCGCCCGGGCTCTTAGCTGACCTTTATTTCCTGTGTTTTCAACCACAGCTGCTTTGCGCGACACAGCTGTGGTTGAAAAAGCAGGAAAAAAGTGCTTTTTCAACCGCTGCGCACCCGCGCACAGCGCTGCTCAGCTGTCCAGGCAGCTAGATAACGACGATATACACGCGTGTGCAGCATGTAAAATCACCGAACCGGTAGTTATACCGGTTGGATCCCACCCCTGAATCAAGGTATGAATATGGCAGATAGTTAAGTTATGAAGAAGTAGGGTGATATGTGCAGAGATGAAATAGCATAGAGTAATAGGATTGAGAAGATTCATCCTGAAAGGAATTCCATCATTCAGTGTTGAGGAGAGAGCAAATTAGATAAAAGACTGTAAAACTTTTTGCATGCTAGGAAAGCAAAGTATGCATTAGAATGCAGAAATAAGTTCCTTATAGTATTAATAAAATCAGATTTTATTCCTAAACCTTCATACAAAATTTATCTGGGTGTTGTTAAATACTAGGCATTAAGCAAGCCAAACCATCTGTATTATATATTCTTTTGCAATAAAGATAAGAATGCATGCTGAAATCTGCATAATAAAGTAGCCCTCAACTTACGACCACCATTGGGAATAGAATGGATATTTTGTCAGAATTGGGTGTAGTTATAAAGTGTGACCAGACCTGATTTTGCAACTCTTTGCACTATGTTCTTAAGGGAATCACATGATCATTAAGTGATTCCAGCTTCCACAATTGACTGTTTTTGCTGGAAATCAGTTGGAAAGTCATATATTGTCATAGTATGACTGCAGGATTTTGCAACTGGTTGGAAATGCAGCCACTTGCCAGGTGCTTGAATTGTATTCATGTGACATTGGGATAAGTGTGAGGATAGATTTCTTTTCTCTACAACATTATAACTTTGGTCATAAGCTGAAGGCTACCTATATCCCTCTTATCAAATTTACTGCATATATTAGGGAAATGGTTGTCTTTCATTGTTATATGCAAATAGCTGTCTCATACAGAACTAACTGCCAATATACTTAGTTCCCCCCCCCCCAAACCTCCCACTTAAAAGTCATATCTAAGCTGGTGTGTTCTATAACCTAGGTAGAATTTTCTCACAAACCCTCATTTCCTCCTTTATAGTGTGCTAACAATAAGAGAATTCTGCTCAGTGAGGAGGAAGCAGAAGTTATAAAGCAAGTAGATTCTATAGAGATTTCTTTTTTTCAGCGTGTTGATCCCTGCAGCAATGGAAGAATATTCTACAAGATCTAACAACATGCTACTACAACTCTAAAGTTCTTTTTATATAGATCATAGTTACTTCACTTCTTGTCTTTTTTGATCAAGCCTCAATACTGTTGCCATTAATAACTTTCCCTGATTTAAAAGAACATTTAGAAGTGGTTGGCCATAGAACTTGTAATCATAGGCTTGTTAATATGCATTATTCTATATGCATTTCTTGCTCTGTTTTTATAGTGTCCTTTTCATATAAAACTTACTTATTTTTCCCTTGTTCCCCTATCCCCTTTGTTCTAAATGTAAACCCAGATTATAAGATGAAACTTGGTGAATGATTAGACAAAGTCATTAATGCTTAAGCTCCTGATTATGCTTTGAAGTTTTGATGCTTTTTACCAGCACAAATTCATTGATGGGGATAATTGCAAGTCAGAAAACAACTATTTATTAAAAAGCTTCCCTGGTGCTCCCTGTTATCCCTAACTTGCTTTTGGTTATTTTTTTTCTCCAAGGTATGTGGATAACCTTCTGAACTAAGCAGTGAAAAGTCATATTCTTTTATATGTGGGCTATGAAGGCAGATCAGAACAATGAGTAAAGTCCACTTTCTATTGCTTATCCCTGTGCTAGCTAAATAAATATAGTTTTATCATAGTTCACTTATGTTTTCTCCTTTCTGTGGCTATAAAAGTCCAGTGAGTGGGGATGACTCCTGTCCTTGCTGATTGGATTGCCTAATTGATTAAGCCCCACCCTCCACCGTTGGCCACACCCCAGTTTTCAACTCAGTCCCAGACAGGACGGACGTGTTCCTTTGGAGCTCCACTTTCAATTTTGCAGAAGTGGAGTTATTTCTGTGTTTGCTGCTTCAAACTGACGATAAGATCAAGAAGGTTAGTGCCACAGGCCATAGTTCCTTGGGAACGGCCTAGTGGCTTGGCAAAAGGGTTACCAGCACACTAGCCAAGTGTAGTGGAGCACTAGGGGCTGTGGTAGCAGTCCGGGTGATCGGCAGGCAAGATCGGCCCGCAAAAGAGCTGTTGGGCGCGAGATCGCCCACAGGTGCCAGTGCTTAGGCAGGGAATTGCGTGGCGTGCCCAGGATCCTCCTGCAGTCATGTAAAGCTTACTGAGCAGGATTGGAGGCTGCTTCAGGGGTTGAAGTAGTAACGAGCCCGCCTATGGCCTGAAGGTAGAGAACCAGCAGGGCATGGTTGCAGCCCAGCATTTAGGCCTAAAGAGGCCTGCTTCAGCCGGTGAAGAGGTCAAGATGGTGGATGCACAGACTCCAGGCAAGCCTCAGAAGGAAGGAGGCTGCAGTCCCTCCTCTTCCAAGGGAAACTCCCCTGGAGGCAGACAAGGAAGGCCCATGCTTCCAAAAAGCCTTCCAAGACAGAAGAACAGGACGCCATAAGGAGGCAGAGAGCTCTGGAGAAGCAAGTGGAAAAGAGCCAACGGACTGCTGGTAGGAGGAGTCTCAGATCTCCTCCCCCGGATGATTCGGCTTCTGCTCTCCAGGCCCCTGAATTGCAAGCAGAGCCTGAGCCTGGGCTTGGGCCTGCCCTGGATGTAGGCCTCACACATTGGAATCTGCAGATCCACAGTTAATGGCAGTAGGCAGGGATTATGAGAGGGCTCCTCAGATAGCCTTTCAAGGAGAATCATGGGAGCAACCCCCTAAAAGGCCCAGAACAGGTGTAGAGGCCACATTTACACCCGCTGCTGCAGGCCTTCGTGATCCAAAGTTTTCTGAGCCAGAAGTGCTTGCTCATATGGAAGCCATTATATCTAAGGCTATCAGGAGAGGTATTGTTAAGAGTCTCCAATTGTTAAGAAGGCCTGAATCTGTGGCTTCTTATGGTTCTATCATGTCAGAGCCTGACCCGTCCCTTCACCTCAGAGTTAGGCAAGTTTTGCAGGATTGGGTTTCACCAGATCCGTCAGTGCACAGTCATTCTTCTATGGCAGCAGAGGAGGATAGGAGAGAGTCAGATCTCTCTGAAGATGAAGGATTGATCCCAGATCAATCTGCCTTTACTGGTCTGTTCAAGCCTACTCTGTTTCGTTCTTTATTATTCAAGGCAAAGAACACAGCTCAATTGGGGCCAGAGGCAGATGTTGGGGAGACAGTAGGAGATACCCCAGCTCCTCCGGATCAGTTTTTCTATGAGCCAACTTTGCGCACAGAGGTGGTTCTGGCTCCAAGGCTAATCCTGAAGTCAACAAACAATTAGAATTCCCTGGGATAGCGTCCATGTTATCTTCTAATGAGTGTCGTTATTTTACCAGATCTCTGCAGGTGCCAGCACTAGATAGCCCGGTGGTGGCTTTGGTGGCTTTCTCCTCAAATCCAGCGGATCCAGAAGAGGCCTTAAAAGCAGAAGATAAGAGGATTGAACAATCTCTTCAGGGAACCTATCAGGCAGCTACGTGGGCAGTCAAAGCTTCATCTGCTGCATCCTTTTTACTAGAGCCTCCTTACGTTGGCTCAGGCAGCTGCTATTCCAGTAAGGGTGCAATGCTACCTGGATGATATTTTAATTCAATCATCTTCGGAGAGCACAACTTTGAGAGATCTTCAAATGATAGTTTCCCTATTACAGGCCCATGGCTTCTCAGTCAATACTAAGAAAAGCCACTTCATCCCCACTACGTGTTTATTGTATTTGGGGGGCCAATATTGACATGGTCTCTTGTAAGATTTATCTCTCCCAGGACCGCCGGGACAATATGAAGGCACTGGCAGGCAGAATTCAGAAGGCAGATACCGTACCTTTGGCCCTACTATCTCAGCTACTGGGAAAGGTGGTGTCTTACATTTCCATCGTGCCTTGGGCACGGCTGCATTCAAGGACACTGCAGTGGTTCCTCTTGCCTTATCAAAAGGCGGAAGGAGTCACTCCTCATGTAAGGTCAGGGTCCCCAAATTGGTGAAACAGTCCTTTAGGTGGTGGCAATCCCAAGCGATTTGCACAGGCCACCTATTTAAAGAGCCTCCATGGCTTGCCATCACTACTGATGCCAGTCTCTTCAGATGGGGGGCTCATCTTCAGTCCCAGATGGCACAAGTCCAGTGGTCAGCACTAGAACAAGGGAGAAATATCAACTGGTTGGAGTTGAGGGCTGTCTGCTTGGCTCTCAAATGGTTTAGTGCCTTGGTACAAGGGTCTCATGTCCTGAATATGATGGACAATGTGGCCACCAAGGCCCACATAAATAGGCAGGGTGGAACCAGGTCCAGGTCCTTAGTATTGGAGGCCGAATGCCTGGGACACTGGGCAGAGAGAAATCTCTTGTCCATTCAGGCAGAACATATCTCTGGTATTGACAATGTGCAAACAGACTGGCTTAGCAGAGCCAGGATAGATTATTCAGAGTGGAGTCTCCATTCCTCTTTTATTTCAGGAGCTGACACAGAGGTTCAGCCAACCAGTAGGGGACATGTTTGCTTCTCCAAGCAATTCCAGGCTGCCCAGATTCTTCACCAGGTTCCTGACCCCAGGTGCGGAAGGGACCAACGCTGTCAGGAGCAGATGTCCTCAGGGCCTTCTGTATGCCTTTTCTCCTCTTCCGCTGCTGCCAGCGGTAATCTGAAAAATCCTGGAGGAGGGGGTGGAGTCATACTTCTCACTCCTTATTGGCCCCAACGTCTCTGGTTCTGGGACCTGGTGAATCTATCCATCACCAACCCGTGGAGGATCCCTCCAGACAAGATATCATTACATCAGGGGGCCCTAGTTCATCCAGAGCCTCAGTGGTTACAACTGACCGCATGGTGCTTGAGCAGGGCTCTCTGAGAGAGCACAATATCTCAGAGAGGGTAATTCATATGATCCAAGTGGCCAGGAAACCTCTACTGATATATTCATGATGCCACCTGGAAGACCTTTTGTCAGTGGTGTGGCAGGGCTGGCCTTCACCCTATGGATGCTTCTATATTAGATTTCCTTCAAGATGGCCTGGACAGGGGGCTCTCAGCCAATACCCTTCATAGGCAAGTGGTGGCCCTCTCTTCTCTGCTTCACATTCACGGGAAGAGGTTCTTGTCCCTCAATCACACTATTCGTAGGTTCCTGAAAGGAGCGTCCAATATTAGGCCTCCAGTGGTCCATAGGTTCCCAACTTGGGAACCTCCCTAAGGTGCTCAAGGCTTTGACACAGGCTCCCTTTGAACCTCTTAGATCCATTAGTCTACATATGTTGATCATTAAGGTAGCTTTCTTAGTGACGATCACTTCAGCCAGGAGAATTTCTGAAATGGCAGCTGTCTGTTAGGGAAGATCTCTGTTATCTTCCTCCTGGATAGAGTTATGCTTAGATTAGATCCCATTTTTGTGCCCAAGATCAATTCCTGGTTTCATAGAGCTCAGGAGCTTATCTTGCCAAATTTCTGCCCTAATCCTTCTCACACCTTGGAACGGGCATGGCATACTTTGGATGTTCGCAGAGCATTGAAGATCTATATTTGTAGAACAGCAGTTCTTCGTAGAGGCACTTTTTGTGTCATTTCAACTGGCCACCTTGAGTGGCAAAGTCACGCCATCGACAGTGGGCAGATAGATCTGTTCCTGCACCTCCAGAGATTATGAAAGTAGGTCTCTTCCGATTCCTTGAGGTGTGACTGCGCATTCTACATGGAGTGCGGCTACAGCGGCGGAAGGGCCACACAGGCGCCTATCAAAGAAATCTGCAGGGCTGCTACGTGGTCTTCGCACTCTCCATTCATCAGACATTATTGATTGGACACCTTCGCATCGGCTGATGCAGTGTTTGGCAGAAGGGTTCTGCAAAGTGTTCATGGACAGCAGCATGAGCAGGACCAGACTTGAGCCCTCCCATGGACAGTTCAGCTTTGGTATGTCCCGCTCACTGGACTCTCGTAGCCACAGAAAGGAGAATGAACATTGGTCTTACCTGAATATTCTTTCTCTTTCGATGGTGAGAGTCCAGGTCCACCCTTTATATGACTGGTCAAGGGCGTGGGTTGGGGGGAGCGATGATATGTGTTTTTTCTCGTTGAATCTACAGAGACACGTCCAGTCTGTCAAGTTCTTCGCCGAAAGCTGGGGCATGGCCAACGGCGCAGGTGGAGCTTAATCATTTAGGTAGACTCAGTCCAATCAGCAAGGACAGGAGTCATCCCCACTCACTGGACTCTCTCACCACAGAAAGAAAAAGAACATTCAGGTAAGACCAATGTTCAATTGATCAATTATTTCTCTCTAGTTCTTTCTCCTTTAAACCTGCCTTATAATCATATTTGATATTCCATATTATGTTTATTTTGTTTCAAGATTGGATTTCATGCCCCACAAGCCTGTTTGCTAATTTGATTTAACCCTGGAAGAGGACTGAGTACATGCTTTTGATCATTGTTTGCAATCTCATGGAAATATTTTTAATTTTCATGTTTTTATAAGTGCTCTGCTCTTAACATGTTAAACTTCATACAGATCTGCTTTTAGGAAAAAGACTGAACTTAAGTTCCTCTAGCTGAGTATCCTCACTGCAGATCCAGGGTGTGAGTATTATGACAAGCCACCATGTTCTGGAGATGCTTTTATTACAGAAGCGATTATATATATGTGCCATAAAATAAGTTGTACGAAACAGATAACTGAGAAATAGTTCTTTTTTACCTCTCCTATACTATTGGTTATGTAGTGTCTGATAGATTAATGAGAAGCAAAATATCTTTGTTCAAATATGAGTTGTGTATTCCCTGATTTGATCAGTGCCCAGTGCTGGCTTTTTATAGGAAGATTAACTGTTACCTTAAGATAACTGATTTTTACTTCCATTTTCTCTGTCTAGTTTTGGTGGCTAGAGGAGTTAATGATTCATGTAAAGTGTTACGGTGTCTTGGAGGAAGACCATTGCAGAGCTCAGCAAAGCTACCCTAACTTCTCTTTATTGGTCAAAACCAACGCTTAGGGAGGATTGTTGAATGTGCCTGATCATTTGTAATTAAGTATTTACATTATTAGCGAATTCATTACAACTTTTCCTCCTAAACAACAGAAATATGAAATCCCATAAAACAATTCACATTATCTCTCACCAACCTTACCCCTCACTGGAGCATTAGTAAAAGACTGCTTTTGTTTGTATTTGTGCTTTTATTTTCCACTGCTGTACACAGCCAGTTTTTCATGGCCGCTTCCTCATATTTTCATTTGGTCTGTAAGGTAGATGCTAAATGACTTTTTCTTACACATTGCTTTGTTATATAATGATTGTATTTTTAGATTGTTTTGAATTTGAAAATACATGATATATAAGTGATGCACAGGACAAATTGCTGAGTTCAGGTAACATTTTTCTACTTGACTAATAGATGACTGTTAGCATCAACACCTGACTATAATCGCTGTGCTTGTTTTGGTGCAAACAGTTAGATATATTTTAATAAGAACTTCAGGATATAAAATGAAGAGGGTTTAGAATCTAAATATTGGTTATATGTTATTCCATTTGGTAACTCCTATAGCTGTTATTGGACCTTTCCTATAACAACGTTTGGAACTGAAGTAACTATGCTGAGTGTTCCTACTACATACTTCTGACAATTTTGCTTTTTTATTTTGAGTAGCTGAGAAGGCGTAACTAGTTCCGATAGCTTGCCAAAAACACACAATTATCTTCTGTGTAAGTAAACAAGTCCTCCAGCTGGATTAATTTTAACGCCTGCAGCCCACAGATGACTGTAAAATAAGAATGTTTATTTCCTGTGGTCTTGGTTTACTAAATGTAGAAAACTGCATTTTGAGGGAGAGAAAATAGGAAATAATTTCAGGTTAAACAGCACCTGAAACTTGAGAATTCTGTATTTGTTCTTTTGTGAGAGAGAATGTCCAATTTTAAGCACCAATACATTTTTGTAGCAGCATAGAAAGAATACTACAGCAGTGCTTAAAGTTTTGTGAATCTTTTTGAATTTTCAATATTTCTACATAAATATGTATGCAATGAAATTTCACTTTTAATGTATGCCAATTAGTGTACATTCAAAGTGACAAAGTTATTCATTCTCTCTCTCTCTCTCTCTGTCTCTCTGTCTCTCTCTCTCTCTCTCTCTCTCTCTCTCTCTCGCTATCTATCTATCTATACCTTAAGTGGGAAGATCAAGCTAGGAACAATCCTTTTAAATTTTCAATATTTTTGCATGAATATGATCCAAGATGTAGTATTTTTCCACACAAGTCTAAAGCTAGTTAAAAAGAATTAAACATCCCTAGGAGGAATAACACATTCCTAGGAGGAATGTGCTAAAATTCCTTCAAGCCAATATACAGAATATTAACAGTTATCTCAAATAGATACTTCTGACATGGGGATGGGAGCACACCATTTACTGAAAGTTCACATACTTTTGTCTTAATCAAATATGTAGCTTCCCTCAATAAATCAATGAATGTATGATATAATGTTTTTCGCTTATTTGTTTAATTCTTTTTAACTAGCTTTAGACTTGTGTCTCAACATTTACATTTTGGGTCATATTCATGAAGAAATATTGAATATTTAAAAGAGTTCTCAAACCATTAATCATCACTATATATCCACTATATATTCCTGATGGACCATCTTTGCTGCAAAATAAATTTGGAGTGATTTACTACACATTTATTTTCTGTGCAAGTACTTTAATAAAATACAGTTAAATGAACAATGCAAACATGTGATAATCAACCATTTATTTCCTAGGATAGGTATCTGACAGTATAGAATCAGACAGTACAGTCAACTGATATTAATAGATGCATTTAGAGGAACCAATACAGTTAGTCTTTTTTGTACTGCAGATTTTTATTTCACCATTATTATTTTACAAATAACTCAAGGCCAGTGTCACATACTCAGCCTAACCCACCTGACAGGGTTGCTGTTGTGGGGAAAAGAGAAGGAGAAAGAAGTATTAGGTATGTTCACTCTATAATTTATAAAAATAATAAAAGAGGGGGAAAAAAGATCTAATTGTGTTGAGTCCCATAAATGCATTCATTAACATCAATGGACATTTAAATTCAATTACAGATTCCATATTGGCAGGTAAGTCCTAGAAAATAAATGGTCTTCGCTAATGAAAGTATTTTTAGCATGATCTCAGGAACAGAATTTCTATTCCTAAGTGATATAGTCATAAAGTGTGACATCACACCACCATATCACTGAGCTTTGCCAAATGTCAGCAGTCCAGGCTTGGTCCATCCCAGCCCAGAGCCTGGTTTCTTCCAATGGAAGAGACTGCCTTGCCTCCAACTCTCCCCAACTGCCCATTCCTCTGTGGTGCCCTTTTGGCTGCTGGCACCCTGCCTTATTGGGAAAATTACTCTGAGGCTGCTTGCCATGCTGCAGGTCAGGGGATTTTTGGTGCACTGTGGCTCTGAAACCCTAAGTCATGGCATGGTGTGAAGCTACAACTGGTCCTAGAAACTTCACCCTTCCCAATCTGGCACAGCAGCACAATGCAAATCCACTGTTCGCCAGGAAACCCTAATACTGGCAGGAAGCTGCCTCGTTTTGGGAAGTCCCAATGTAATCCAGCTGCTTTTGCCACCTTTACTTTTGCTGTCCTATACTCTCTGCAGTATTGGGTGAGTCCAGATATGGGTATGCTTTATTCCTTCCTTTTTTTTTTTTTTAAGCAAAACTTTGAATTAGAAAAGATTGGAGGCAATGGCCTAAGTAGCTGATTGAACATGTGTCCAGTATGTGTCGTTTTGCTGAGTTCTTTTGCTTCCCTTAGGGTTAGGCTAAATTGCAGGAAATCATTATTGTTTCCACCTTGTTTTTTAAATGTGAATCATTTTTCATATGATTAAGAATCAGATTTGCTTTTTTAATGAAACTTAAGATGGTCTAATTGGTAGATTGAATTTGCATACTGGTGTCAAAGTTCCCAAGTATTCCCATTTATTTTTAAATTGGAGTAAAAATTTGTGAATCCTGATTAAAAAAATGGGAGGTTTGATAGACTTCTACTGCTTCGTAACTGAAGCTGCTTTGAAGAGAAGGAATGGAGGAAACTGTTTGTTAGCTGGTGAATTGAATTACCTCACTGAGGGGTTGATGGCAGCTGTCCCGCCCTTTTGACTTCCCCCAGTTAATCCCATTTTTCTTTTCAGCATTATACTCCCACCACCCTCCTTTTAACAGCTTATAATAGCCCAGCTATTGCTTAAGCAAGGCATGAGAAAGAACTATCCAGCTTGCTTGACTCACTTATGTCTAGCCTTCTACAAGCATAAGAGTTGAGTCGATTCCAGTTGAGTGCCCATAAAAGGACAAAGAAAACTGAAAGCCAGCCTTGTCTGAGTATTTCCTCTGCTTGCTTGCAACAGACTTGTTGCTTCTGCAGCAAAGGAATGTCTCCCTTTTTCTATATAGTTTGTGTAACTTCAGTAAGGGTTATATTTCTTTCTTATGATTAATATAGTAGCTCACTTCCAATATGCTTCCATAATCTTGTCTGTAACGCTCAAAATGTGGGAAATTTAAATTCCCATGTTAAAGCATGGGACAAAGGAAACAATGATTCTATAAGGATTCAATACTTGAAACATAATTATGAAAGAGTAGAATGTCTTATGAAATACCTTCAGAAGATATTTCATTGATAATTCATTAGTTAATGAGAATAATAATTCTCTCATTAACAATGTAGTATATGTTTTCAGTTACAACATAATTTTTGTTTGCTACATGTATGATGTACTTTAAGTTTATGATTATAATGAAAGATACATAAAAATAGTAAGAAATCTGCAAATAAACATAAAGCACCCAAAGGGTGTATGTTTCTTCTTTCCAGTTACTAATTGTTGTAATGATTTACAGAAGACGCTTGTCTTTTATGATAAACTAGATATACCTTAGGGCTATATCACTTAAATCCTTTTCTTTGCTAAACTTTAATGCTTTGATATATTTTGATTTAAAGAAGTGTCTATTTTCTTTCCCTGGTTTGATGAAATCGTTTACCGTAGCACTAAATGCTGTTCTGGCAGGCAGGCACTAAGTATTGAATATAAGGTGTTATACTCCTGAAAAATTTGGAGTATTTTTTCTGAGTGCTGGGCATCCTTTCTATAAGAAAGCTGGGTATAGGAGCCCCTAAAACATGGGTTGAAACTGTAGACTTTACAGATACGAGATCAGTGAATTTTGTTTAGAGGTGAATATATCTGGAAGGAAAATAACTTACTTTTGGTATGTGTGGTTCAGGCTGATGGCAACAAAAGATGTACTGATAGACAACATGGGTTGTGCAACAACATATGAGTTTTCCAAGTTTCCTAAAATTCCTCAGGAGATAAAACTGAAAGCAAATAGGAGTCTAAATAGAAATTGGATAAAACAGTGTGAACTGATAACATATGGTTATATATTTTTTTATATTTTCCAAAGATGAATGCTTGCAACATTTGATTTGTATATTTCTGAAAATAATGCTGTCCCTATGGCAAATAATCATAGTATTGCCTCCTGTGTAAAATGGTAAAGTTCAGATATTTTTAAACCAATCCAAAGATTTCACTTTTCCTACTCTCCCTGTCCTATTATAGGAACAGCTAAACTTACAATAACATGTTTAAAACATACAGTACTTTTCTGACATCTTTCACTAAGAAGTGTTTCTACTGGAGCTACTTTTGTGTTGTTTCCAGACTCTGGATACCCTAATATGTACCAAAAGTTTATTTACCTCTTGTTAAAATTGCTCTTTTGAGTTGGGTTTCTTAAACATTTTTTTTCTTCTATTCAGTCATGACCAATGGAGACTGCCTGAATAGGTCCTGTAGTTTTCTTGGCAAGGTTTTTCAGAAGTGGTTTGCTATTGCCTCCTTCCTAGAGATTTGTGAAAGTGACTGACCCAAGGCCAGCCAGCTTTCTTTATGCCTAAGGCAAAAATAGAATTCATAGTCTTCCAGTTTCTAGTTTGATGCCTTAACTACATACTAAACTGGCTCTCAAACTGGTATTAGTTGTCTGTATTGACATGCACTCCTGTCAGTTTCACAATTTAGATTTAAAAAACTGCTTGCAGCTGTGATTTTTTTTTTTTTTTTTTTGCTGTCTGAGAACAAGGCGCTCTCTTTCTCGCTCTCCCTCCCTCCCTCCCTCCCTCATTTCCCCTTTGCTAGCTCCACAAAGAGCAATAGCAAATCTGTTTACATTCATCAGAAATTTGTTCTGTACACTGAGAATATTTTAGGTAAATAATTTTAAAATTTGCATTTAGGTGTGTATGTTTTAATTTTCCTAATATTTTGGACAGATGTCTTCAAGAAAATCTACAACTCACCAGAATGGAACCATTATTAACTTTAGAATATCTTACATGATATACTAATATGGGGAAATTTTGCTTATTGGATGATTTCACCTTTTATAGGCATATATGACATTCTAGCTTAGTTACTGACCAAGAGGGTCCTAAACTCAGCTTCTATGGATAGAGTGACTCTTTGTGTATATATGTATGAGTTTCCTCTTCAAATTAGATTGAGACACGTAGAGGTAAGGAAGATTTTAAAGATGAATGTTTAAACATGAGTATGGGGAAGTTGTATCTGTAAAGAACCTTGATTTTAATGTCTGATATCTGCAAATATAATTCAGCGTGTCTCTTAACTTTAATTTGTCAAATTACAATGTTAAATCCATTTTCAAAATGAATGCATGTAAAGTTCTTTTCTACATGAATTGGTTGAAAGAAAATAACAGTTTATTGCACATTCAAGGCCAAGGGGAACTGATTAAACCCTTTGATTTGAATGTATTTGCATGCCCATCTTCTTACTAAGCCATGTTAATTTACAAAAAAGGAGTGTACAATGTGTTGCTTTTGTAAATAGGTTTGTATCTATTTGCCATATTAAAAATGTTTAGCAGTTTCAGCAGATGGTAGCATTT